CACAGTAGTCCATGGCCAAGAGTCGGGAGCCAAAGCAACGTGGGCAGTGGGTAGCAGGCAGGCTGTGCCCACAGGCCAGGCTTGGGGGCCGGGGCGAGGGGTTGCCAATCAGCGTGGATGGCACCATCGCGGCCCACGTGTGCTGTGGAACTCTCGCATCCTTTTGGTTTAAGACAGCTAACTATGGGGCTGGAGCGATAGCACAGTGGGTAGGGCATTTGCCTTGCACACAGCTGACCCGGGTTCAGTTCCCAGCATCCCATATGGTCCCCTCAGCACCACCAGGAGTAATTCCTGAGTGCACAACCAGGAGTAACCCCTGTGCATCGCCGGGTATGATCAAAAAGCAAAAAAAAAAAGACAGCTAACCATGCTGCGCCCTGTTCTAAAGTGGACTGGACATCCCCTTTGATTTTAAAATGCCATCCATTAGGAACCTTACAAAAATGAGTAAGAAACAGGCATTTCTCTAAGTGCGTTGGTGCCAGATTGGGGGGGGTTTTGGGGAAGGGGGGAGATCCGGGATAAAGTCTTCCATGCCCAGAGAATGTTCACTAGGATTCCATCACGCTTCTCCTTTGCCAAGCCTCCCACCGTCTTGAATTAGAGTCGAACCAACCCAGTGACAGAAACTTCATGTGTCAGGGACAGCACATGTGAGGGCGCTTCAGGGCACCGGGAAACAGACCCTTTGCTGAGCTGACCCTCTCCCCGGTGATGGGCCCAGAGAATAGGATGTGTTCCTTCCCCCCACCCCCACCCCCCAAAAAATCATTCCAGAGGCTCAGTCGGAGAAAGGTGCATGAGCCAAGCTCCAAGCCTGCTTGGGCATTTGTCTTGGGTGTTGCCAGGAGCGTCCGTCCAGCCGTGGGCAGAGGCAGGAAGTGGCAGGGCCCTATTCTGGACTCGCCCTGTGTCATCTCCGGGTCTTCCGGAAGCACGGAACGTGGGCAGCGGGGCGCTGGCTGCCCCCAAGAGACCGGGCTGGCCGTGCCCAGCTCCTGCCCACCGCGGCCGCACGTGGGTGTGCGGGGCTTGGCCGGAGGTCCAGGTAAACAGAGCGAGGGTGTCTGCCACTGCGCCGTATAGATCCTTAAGAAAACAAAGTGGGCCTGGAAAAGTACCGGAGGACAAGTCATCTCATTGAACCCAAACCACTTGCTGAAGCACCGAGCAACAGAACAATAACAGTGGAAAGTTACAGGGCCCGGACCGCGGTCACTAAGAGGGCACTTGCCCCAGGTGGCCGCGCCTGCCCACGGCCTGCCCACGGCCACTGGTATTTCCACCTGCACACATGCACGGTGAGAAAGGGCCTTATTGTTGTTTTTATATTATTATTATTATTACCTCTTATACTCTAGCCCAGTGATGTACCTCCTCTCAGAGAGCCCAGCAAGCTACCGAGAGTGTCCCGCCCGCACGGCAGAGCCTGGCAAGCTCCCCGTGGCATATTCGATATGTCAAAAACAGTAACAATAACGGACCTCATTCCCCTGACCCCGAAAGAGCCCTCAATACGCCATTGGGCTACGCTAGCACGCAACGGGGGCGAATGGAATCGTTACTGATACCCGCTTGATCAAATCGATGATCAACAGGATGACAAGTGACAAGTGATGATGATGATGAAGATGATGATGATATTTCCATTTTAGGTACCGTCATTTACAATGCATGATTTGCAAAACCGGTAGTTTCCTGCATCACCCATCATAATGCCACATGCCATGTCCCCCCCTCCCCCCATGTCCCCTCCCCAGGGGCCTGGGTGGGGAACTCGATTCAGTCCATGGCTCTCGGGTCCCATGGCCTTTGGGCATTTCTTGTGCCTTACTGTTTCTTCATATCCGCTTACGAGAGAGGTCACTCTATGTGCGGGCCTCTCCTGGCTGGTCACTCAGCCCCCTCCCCACTCCAGACTTATCCCCGTAGCTGCAGATTGCATGGGTCTCCGAGGCCCAAGGGGTGTTCCACTGGGCGTTCCCTGCTTTCTTCATCCACGTATCTGTTCTTAGACATCTGGGTAGCGTCTAGATTTTGTCTAGCGCAGTGAATAGTGTCACAGGGCACTTAAAAGTGCCAGTGTTTGTTCTTCTGAGTCAAGTTTTGGGGTCTTTGGGGTAGATGCCAAGAAGTGATACTCTCCAGTCATATTAGGAGTTCAATCCTGCATCTTTTCAGAAGGCGAGAAAAGTTTGAAACTGCTTCTCCTGGAGCTGTGCTGAGGCTGTTTCATTTGCAGGTTGATAGAGGCTGATGGCTGGCCGGCAGTCTTGTCAAGAGGGCTAGAGGGCAGGATGATCCCCTGGCCAGATGAGATCACAGAAGGCAACTTTCCTCAAGAGAAAGAGGAGTTGGTCAGTGTCCCCTGTCACCTGCTCCCTTGGGACCATCCCACTGCTCACCGCCTGTGTGGAGGCTGGGAACTGCTGTTTCTATGTGAGCAATCCGGTCCTTCTTCCTCCTGGCCGCAAGGGTCTGTCTCCTGAGAAGGTTCCATCAGCATCTGCATCTCACTCTGTGCCCCATGGCCCTCCGCCCATCGTTCAGAATCTGGCGCCTTGGCTGAGTGGCCGAGCTCGGCTTCTCCACACCTGGCCCACGCATTCACGCCTGTGACAGAGTTTGTGCCCTCAGAGAACAGTTTGCTGTGTCTCCCCAGTGACGTCCACAGAACACGAAGGCAGGGGAGATCGGCGGGGAACGGACCCTCTTTGTTCACTATTTCTACTGAAGTGGCTGATGGTGGGTCCCACTGCCATGTTGCCTCATGCCCCTGTACAGGGCCAGCCAGGGGTCCATGCCCTGCCTGGTGCCTGGGGAGCCTTGTAGGACAATTCTGTCCACTGACATCTACTGAACACTGGTTTTTTCACCCCACCCCACCACCCCCCCAAAAAAAATCAAAGTCGTCAAGGCTGGGACAGTACAGCAGGTAGGGTGTCACCTTGTAGAGCCAGGAGTGAGTCCAACCCCACCCCACCACCCACAAAAATAAATCAGAGTTTCAGGTGGAGGTCTGTGCTTCTAAACACCCACAGTGAGCTGGGGCCAGTTCACTTATTCCTGCCGTGCGTGCCAGGCTCTGTACTGTGTAAGTGGGGGTCTGGGTTGACCGGGGACCCTTGCCTTCTCGTTTCAGGTTGTGTGGGATTAATAGCTGGAGCCCTCCAGTGCTAGAGCCTTGCATTTTAGGGTGCCTGACTTGCTTCCAGGTCTGAAGGCGTGAGACGAGGTTGGCAGGAGGGAGAGTGTGTGCCCTGCAAGGTCACAGAGCGACCAGGGGAAACTCCGTGCTGTTATGGAGGGAGAAATGAAACGAAGAGCGAATCAGAGCCCCAACTAGAACCCGGGAATTTGCCAGCAGGTCGTCCCAGCTTTGGCGGGAGGGCAACGCCGGCATAACCGGCATGGATTATTCATCTGGATTCTTCTCTGTGGCCTCTTACAGATGTGTGCTGCTGGCCACCATGCTTTAGGCAGCTTGGTCCACTCCCCAGTGCTCAGGAATGTCTCTCCCATTTGCAAAAGCAGAAACAAGTGTACAACTCTAAGGGAGAGCCCAGATACACGCCCTGGGCGATGAGGGACCATGGTGTCACACAGCACTGGCACACGGGAGGTGGTGGGTTTGTGTGTAAACCCGAGTCCTGCACTCCTCCATCTGTCTTGCTACGAGCCAAAACCTGCTTTTGCTTGAGGACAGTGGGGGTCGGGCTGGCAGTGCTCTGGGCCGCCATGGTGCTAGGGATGGAACCCCAAGCGTCTGCTTGACCCGCGTCTCCGGCCCCCAAACTGGAAAAGGCATCTCAGCATCCAGGACGATGCCCCCGGGAGGGGCTTGCCTGGTCCCAAAGACCACGAGTGGTGTGGTGACTCCGTTCCCAGGTTTCCAGTGTGTGGCACCTCTGAGGACCCCTTCATGGGGGCAGGCGGAGGAGGCAGCTCAGGCCTTCAAGCTCACACACTGCATCCGCGAGGCCTCAGACTGGGACCCAACACCGCAGGACGCCCCCACCTGCAGGCCCCGAGCTCTCACAGTCAGGCCTGCATTCTGGGGGTGTCCCTGGCGCCCTCAGCCACTGGGGTCACCCTGCCGCCCCCCAACCCCCAAATACACAAAATCTTCTGAGACTGTATTTCTGAAGCAGGGATTGTCCCGAGTGTTTGGCTTAAAGGCTTCCTCCCCATCTCTCCTCTCCCTTCAGCCCAGGGTGTGTTTCAAGTCGGAACCTAGAAGGGGGGGCTACCCCCACCCCCTCCTGGAACAAAAAAATGATGTGTGATTTCTCATTCCATCGGTGGCTGCCACCATTCATTTGATTCTGTATGTAAAGAACTACTCCCTACATAGACAGACACACATAGGTAACACGTGGGATGATAAATCCTTCAAGAGTGTTTTTTTTTCAAAGTACAGGATTCACTTGGTGCTCCATACATGACAGGATTTTAGGTTGTGCTTGCGAGTGCACGCATGTGCACAGGCACACACATGCATGCACATGCATGCTCACATGCAAACGTGCACACATGTGCATACATGTACACACATGCACGCATGCAAACACATGGATACACGTGTACACGTGCATATAGCACACGTGCACACACATGCACATACATGCACGCGCGCGCACACACACACACACCGTATCACAAGACAGAAGGCCGAATGCCCATAGCCAGTGCTTCAAGTCCCAACACATTAGTTCACATTAGTGTGAACATGTTCCACTTGTCAGTCCTGCTTCTTTGCCTAAGTTTTGTTCTGGCGCCAGCATAAACGTGCTGCTTGCTTCTCCCCGGTGGGCGGGAAGCTCCCAGCTCCTCTCACCCTGCCACTCCCGGGTCCAACGGCAGCGCCCACAGAGCTCCTAGGGATGAACATGGGAACTGGACCCCTGACGGGTCCCCAGTGAGACCCGCCCGCCAGCTTCTCTGGGGCACGGGGGTCTGTTCTCGCCTCCCTGACGCGCGTCTCTTCCCACCCACAGGCCTTGAACCGGGGCATCGCGGCCGTCAAGGAGGACGCGGTGGAGATGCTGGCCAGCTATGGGCTGGCCTACTCGCTGATGAAGTTCTTCACGGGGCCCATGAGCGACTTTAAGAACGTGGGCCTGGTGTTCGTCAACAGCAAGCGGGACCGGACCAAGGCGGTGCTGTGCATGGTGGTGGCGGGGGCTGTTGCTGCCGTCTTCCACACCCTGATCGGTAAGGCCGTTGCCCCGCCCCCCCCCACCCTCAGCCCGGGGAAGCCCGGGCTGAGCCACAGGACCGGAAATCGCTGGGAATGGCCCCTGGGCCCTTGAGCACTGCTTTGGGAGCCCACCTGCCCCTGAGAAAAAGGCAAAAGAAACGCTGCGGGTTGTCTGCAGGGCAGATTGTTCCCAGAGAATGGAAGAGCTGGAGGAGGCATGGAGGGCACAGCCCCAGCCTTTGCGTGTCACGGGAATGTTGTGGAGGAACCCTGAGCCAGAGCAGGGACACCGGGCACCGGAGCTAGGCGCGCAGCCAGGCCTAGGCTCGGGGCGGCTCCGGGAGCTTGAGGAGGGGCCTTGGGGGCCACCAGCTTCCTCCTGGAGCCCCGCGCCTTGGCCGGGCAGGGGCTGGAGGCATCTCAGGGACACCCCAAGTGCACGTGTCAGGCTTCTGCTAGCGTCCACCCCAGTGAGTGGAGGCGGTTGCACCACCAAAGATGCCAGGTTCGACATCCTGGTCACGGCCACACAGGCGACATTGGCGGTTTAGCGAAGAGGCGAGTTTCAGGCCAGGCAGAAGCTTCATCACGCACCAGACTGTGCTTCCGTGACACGTCCGGCGTTGGAGAAGAGTTTCCCAAACGGGACTTGGGGAGGCCCGTTTCCTTGGGGGATTTCGGAAGAGCAGCTCCTCTCAGAGGTCACTCCTGGGCGTACTCCATGGCCGCACTAACTGCTCCCTGCACCCCCGCTGGCTCCTAGAAGCGTCCGGGCCTCCTGCGGGGCCCTCTTCCTTCCAGTGGCGCCCCCCCTCTCTCCCCATCTCCCCAGTTCCTGCTGTCCTTTGTCCCCCCCCAGCATCCCCCAGTCATTCCCTCCCCTTCAGAGATGTGCCCCCGGGGAAGGAGGGATGGTTCCAGAAATGGGCCGGGGGGCTGAAGTGATAGTACAGTGGGTAGGGCGTTTGCCTTGCACGCAGCCAACCCGGGTTCAATTCCCAGCATCCCATATGGCCCCCGAGCACCGCCAAAAGTAATTCCTGAATGCAGAACCAGAAATAACCCCTGTGCATCGCTGGGTGTGACCCAAAAAGAAAAGAAAAAAAAACAAACAGAAATGGGCCAGATGAGCCAGCGTTGGTGGTGGCATGGGGGTACCGGAGAGTCCCTAATAGAGCAGAACCCGGCGAGCTGAGAGGGCACGTCTGCTCTTGGCATGTTCCTCGCCTGCCTCTGGATGCTGCCCACGTGGCAGGCACCGCGGGTCTATTTCTGGCCTTTGGGCTGCTCTTGGCTGGTGGCTGGCCCCGTCTGTGCATCTGAGAACCCCACTGTCGGTGTGAGGGGCGTCAGGTTTGCCGGGCCGGGAGAAGGTGTGACCCCGACTTCCCTGCCGTCTGGGAGCCATTGTGCCTACTGGCGTGTGGGTTCACGTGGTCCCACTTCGTTCCCTGGGGATGGAGTTTCCTCGGGCTCCTGCTTCCCATGGTTACGGCTGCCCCCTCTCTTTTTTTTTTATTTTTTTTATTTTATACGGTAGTTCTCAGTATTTGATTACATTTAATGTTCAAACACCAACTCCATCACCATGACACCTTCCCACCACCATATTTGGGATGTTTCCATCCCAAACCCCAATTCCTGTCCCAAAGCACAACTAAAATAATGTATTTTGTATTGTTTGTTCTGAAAAACCGCTGGAAATGCTACAAAAAAGTATCCCTAGAGGAAACAGTGTGAAGATTGTTCTATTTTGGCAGGGGCCATTAGACCTTCTTTAGGATATCACTAACATGTTGTTAAAGGTTGAGTGGTGTGAACTTTCATATATATATATCTGAAAAAATATATATGCATATATATATGTATATTTCCCTCTATGATTGATTGCGGGCTGGAGCAATAGCACAGCAGTAGGGCGTTTGCCTTGCACGCAGCCAGCCTGGCCGAGCCAGGTTCAATTTCTCCGCCCCTGTCAGAGAGCCCTGCTACGGATAGTATCTCGCCCGCACGGCAAAGCCTGGCAAGCTCCCCATGACATATTCAATATGCCAAACACAGTAGCAAGAAGTCTCAAAATGGAGACTTTACTAGGCCCCTCGAGCAAATCGATGAACAACAGGAGGACAGTGTTTGTTTATTTGTTTGTTGATTGATTGCCTACTATTTGACCCCCATCAGATGTGGTGTGGTACTCTTGGGGAAGGGGTAGGGAGTGTCTTGTAGTGTGCGGCCGCGTGGTCCAGGAATAGGTTGACTCATGCATGAGGCTCGGCCTGAGCGTGTGGAGGGCAACCTCGAGCATGGCCGCGGTTGAGTTCTGGAGGTTTTCGGCTGCTGGGGCTGGGTCCCTTGGGGCGGGGAGGGGCCTCACCTGCCCCCCGCTGGGGTGCCCCGAATGAAACAGCCTGGCACGGGGTCCGGTGGCATGGTTATGGTGAGAGAAGGCCATGCGATTTGGATGGTGGCTGATGACGAGATTATTTGACAGCTGCCCCCTTGTGGGTCCTTTGTTCCTGAGGCCTCACCGTGGCAGCGCCCAGAGGTGCTGTGTGCCCACAATGAGGCGCTTCTACTGGCCAGTCTCCTTCCCGCAGACCCCCCCACATCGTCCATGCGTTACGACTCCCTCCTTGGCAGGGGGCCCGGGGGAGGGTCTTTGGATAGAACCGAGACCAGCTGGGAGCAGGGCAGGGGGATAAATGGGGATAAGTGTCTGCAGAGCGTCCGTGGTGTGTGTGTGTGTGTGTGTGTGTGTGTGTGTGTGTGTGTGTGTGTGTGCATCCGCCATGTCGCTCGGCGCCTCAGGCACAAGCGTTTGTTCCTTCTTGCTCCCTCGGCCATGGGGGCAGCTGGACGTCCTCTCAAACTTGGCTGTGCACGGGTGGTCAGCTGAGAGTCAGGAGGCCTCCCAGGGGGGCATCAGCTGATGCCGAGCCTCATTCTCCTTGGCTGTAGCCCCCCTGGACAGCCGTGGCCGAGCTCCAGGGCGAGGAGGTCAGCACGGGGCCTCCCGGGGCCCAGAACCAGCCGCTGTCCAGCACACTGCTGGCCAGAGCCATCCACGGCAGCCTGCCGGGGCGAGAGGGAGCGTTCCTCAGAGCAACTACGGAAGTACTACACAGGCCTGAGAGGGTTCAGGCCTCATAGCGTCTGCCTCACTTCCCCTTCAGGCCCCGGCCTTGCCTGAACTGGGGTCAGCCAGGTCAGCCACCTCTGGACACCGCCATGGGTGACCCTCAAGCTGACAAATGGGAGCCACCTGGCAGAGTGGGCTCTACTGGGGAAAGGACGGCAGTCTACCCCTGTCGTTTTTGTTTTTCGGTTTTTCTTTGTTTTGTTTTTGCTTTTTGGGTCACACCCAGTGATGCACAGGGGTTACTCCTGGCTCTGCATTCAGGAATTACTCCTGGTGGTGCTCAGGGGACCCTATGGGATGCTGGGGATTGAACCCGTGTCGGCCGCATGCAAGGCAAAAGCCCTCCCCGCTATGCTATCACTCCAGCCCCTACCCTGTTGTTTCTAAGGAGTGAGGGAGGTCCTCTGCTGGTTTCCAGGCCATGTGCCGCCTCCACTTCCTCTGGGCCTGGGAGCACTGACGCCAGCGAGATGTAGCTTGTTCTCTGGAGAGACACAGCTGGAATGTTGTCACAAGGACGAACCTTTCTGGGTCCCATGCTGACGCAGTGAGGGGAAAATTGGCCCTTCTGGTTTCATTTCCCAGTTTGGGACCTTCCTTCCCCTGAAGGCACTGGCTGCCTTTGGACCTCTTCCGGGCCGGTGCTGCAGGGCACAGGGGATGGGTACGGGGGTCTGCATCGGTGAGGGGCACAGTAGCCGACACCCACAAGCCACTCGGCAGGGGTGGTGTATGTACACTGACACGCACACATGTGCACACACAGATACACACACACACCCTGGGAAGGACACAGGAGAGGGAGAGAGGCGGCACAGAGCGTCCGTGCACCGTGAGAGTGAGCGGCAGAGTTCAGGGTCACGGCGCCTGTCTTAGGCGTGTGTACAAGGGGCCCGTCTGATCACGAGTGCTCCTGGTCCCCAAGGGTGGCCCCGGGATGGAGTGTCCGAAGAAACCTGGGGTCCTGAGTCACCTTGTTGTAAAAGGGCCTGGGCTGTAAAGGGTTCAGTTGGGGATGTGGCCCCTGAGTTCTGATGTGCTTCTTGGGGGGGAAGGGGGGAGGGCAGGCTGGAGGAGGGGTGAGAGGAGGCGGGCAGGCCAGGAAGACCTTTCAGACAAGGTCACTGGGTCCTGGCGAAGGCGGCTGCCCTGGTAATTAGGGGCTCACTGCCAAGCCCTTGAAACAAATTACCCCAGCTGAGCCCAGAAGCCGAGCTTGGGAGGGTGGGACAGGGAACAGGGTGTGGACACCCGTGGTTGGGCCCTGAGGGTTCCCGGTCACCACCTCTGTGGTCTGCATCAGACTCCGACATGGAAGGGGGGAGAGGTAGGAGGAAAAGGGAGCAGCAGGCTGACCGCAGAGGCCTCCAGGGGCCTGGGCCTGGGCAGGGAGGACAGAGGGGGCAGCAGGAATGGCTGAGCAGGTTATTTGCAGGCGTGAGACCCTGCGGGCTGGGCCCCGTCCCTGCCCGGTGCTCTGCGCCCTGAGTTGGCAGCGCCCATGCCCACAGCGTGGCAGGCAAGGCAAACGCCCTCCCCACTGTGCTGTCACTCCCGCCCCATGGGTCTTGAGGGTCTTGACGGGAAGAGAATTTCAGATTCGCCACAACCTCCCCAACCCCAGATAAACCACCCACAGTCAGGGATGCCAGCCTGGTGCCAGGCGGGCGCTGAGCTCACCCCCAGCTACTCGCCCACCCTGCAGCCCTTTCCGGGCAGCCCCCGCCCTCCACCTGCTGTGGTCCCCGTGGCCATTGCAGTGGCCTCTGCTGGGCGTGGTGGGAGCAGATGACCACATCCTGCGGTTCCTGAGCAAAGGAAACTGAGGTCGGCCGTGACGCTGAGCCTGGACCCAGCATCCTGACCCCAAGGTTGATCGTGGGTCTGATCGGGTCCTGGGGTCCACCCGGCCGGCTTGGCTCACGTCCAAAGGCAGGGGTTGCCCCCCTGACCACCACCACCAAACACACAATAAAGACAGCCAGAGCTGTAGCACAGCGGGGAGGGCATTTGCCTTGCCCGCAGCTGACCTGGGTTTGATCCCCAGCATCCGATAGGGTCCCTCAGGCACCGCCAGGAGTCACTCCTGAGTGCAGAGCCAGGAGTAAGACCTGAGCACCATCATGCCAGAACAATAAACAAAAAGAAAATTAAATAATCTCGGGGCGGGGGGGGGGGGCGGTCCAGCAGGGAGGGTGCTTGCAGCACCCCAATGGTCCTCTGAGCCCTGACAGAGCAATCCCTGAGCACAGAGCCAGGAGTAATTCCTGAGCACTGCTGGGTGTTACCCTTCTGCAAGAAAAAAAAGGCAGGAGGGGGGATCCCTGCTGGACTGATCCACACAAGGGACCCACTGAGCCTCCTTTGCTGGTGCCCACCCCCCACCCCAGGGCAGGGAGCCCAGCCTGAAATCGTCTTCAAAGGGGATACGGACACGAAGATGACGGTTTTCCTTCCACATCGAAGCACGTGTCCATGAGACAGAAATGACCCCCTGCCCTCCAGCCTGGGCTGGAAAGAGCTGAGGTGGGGAGGGGCATCCTCCCCCACTCCACCCTGCCAGCCCTAGTCATGTGTTCTGTGTTCATTCTGTGCCAGTCTCATGTTCTGATGTTTGCAAGGTTTTCAGCTCTCTGGTGCTTGGCTTTGGTTTGGGGGCCACACGGGGAAGTGCTGAGGACTTAGTCCTTGGTGCTCAGCGATCACTCTGTAGGGCTTGGGGGCCTTCTGGGGTTCCGGGGATCGAACCCTGGTTAGCTGCATGCATGACGAGCACCTTCACCTCTACTGTCTCTCCAACCCCTAAACCACTTCAGGGGGACGGCCCGGGCTGGGCTGCCTGGCACACGGCCGTACATCGGAATGCCCGCCAGGTGCGTGTACACCGCGAGAGGCCTCGGAGCCTCCTGCACACTATTTGGCACCCCCCCAGAAAAAAAAGAAAACCTTAGTGATAAAAGTTTGTCAGCTGCCCAGGAATGTACCCAGGCCTGTCACTCTGATCCCCAAAATGAATTTATAAGCATGGCAAGAGGTGGTAAGGTAGCCGTCAAAATTTTATTGAAAAGCCAGTCACCCTCAGGTTTCTCTCCCTCCAGTAAGTGGTTAGGAATATGTGCAGACTATTTGGCGGCGAGGCTGTCTGTCAAGGGTCTGTCGGCGGTAGGGAACATGGGAACAAGCTGCACGGGTGGTGGTGAGACCCGCAAACTGTGAACCACGAGACCTGCGGCAGAGCCAGGGCAGCCTCCGTGATGCAGAAGCCGACCTGCAGCAACGGTCACGTCTGCAAAACAGCGTGTGTGTGTGTGTGTGTGTGTGTGTATCCCGGGTGTATATGTGTGTATATCCTGGGTGTGCATGTGTGTGTGTCCCATGTGTGTATGTGTGTGTGTCCTGTGTGTGTGTGTTCCATGTGTGTATGTGTGTGTATCCTGAGTGTGTGTATGTGTGTGTATCCCAGGTGTGTACGTGTGTGTATCCCGGGTGTGTATGTGTATGTGTGTAGCCTGGTTGTGTATTGGTGTGTATGTGTGTGTCTCCTAGGTTTGTGTATATATATCCCGTGTGTGTGTATATCCTGTGTGTGTATGTATGTGTATTTCAGGTGTGTATATGTGTGTGTATCCCATGTGTGTATCCCATGTGTGTATGTGTGTATCCCATGTGTTATGTGTATGTATCCTGTGTGTATATGTGTGTGTCCTATGTGTTACGTGCGTATCCCAAGTATTTATATGTGTGTGTATCCCAGGTGTGTATGTGTGTGTGTCCCATGTGTCACGTGTGTGTACCCTGTATCTGTGTATAGCCTATATTTATGCTGACCCATACATGGACTCCCTCCACCTACAGCCCCGGAATGAGGATGAGGACCAGAACCCATAATGGGAGGAAGCGGTCCCCTTCTGGGTCAACGGGTGTGAATGTCACCAGTGATCTCCCCCTTGCTTTTCTATGTATTTTCTGCACTAAAACAAAATTTTGCTTCATCAACTGATTTGTGGTCCTGAGGAGTTCCAGGACTTGGGCTTTATTCATCTCCGTACACGTAGGAGCAACCACTTCCACTGTGAACAGGGCCGGGGTTTCCCATATGCAGGAGAAAAGAGAAATATAGGAAGGGAACAACACACGGTCCAAGCCATCAGAACGGAAGATTCTGGCTGTAGAACTGGGCTTATACGGCTGGGTCGGTGGGGTGGGCCCATGGTACACGGGTGGGAGGCAGGGTCAGCCCGTGGTACATGGCAGGGTCTGTGGTACAGGTCGGTGGTACATGGGTGGGAAGTGGCAGCCCTCCGGGGCTGGGAGGTGGGGCTCAATGATCACTGTGCATGGAAAAGTGTGATTCACTGTACTATAAATCCAGGAACTGCAATTTTTGGCTTTTTGGCTCATGCCCTGCGATGCTCAGGGGTTACTCCTGCCTCTGCACTCAGGAATTACTCCTGGCGGTGCTCAGGGGACCATAGGAGATGCTGAGAATCAAACCCGGGTTGGCTGCATGCAAGGCAAACACTCTACCTGCTGTGCTATTGCTTCAGGCCCCAGATCAAATACAAATAGTAGTCTTCTCTCTTTTTTTTTTTGCTTTTTGGGTCACGGGTCACACCTGATGATGCACAGGAGTTACTCCTGGCTCTGAACTCAGGGATTACTCCTTGCAGTGTTCAGGGGACCATATGGGATGCTGAGGATCGAACCCAGGTCGGCCGCATGCAAGGCAAATGCCCTACCCACTGTGCTATCACTCCAGCCCCTGGAACTGCAGTTTTTTAAAATGGTCTAAAAGTAATTAAAAGAACGAGTCCCCTTGGGGTTCTGCGTCCCCACGGGAAACACTGACAGCTGACCCTGTTCCCCGCCCTGCAGCATACAGCGACCTGGGCTACTACATCATCAACAAGCTGCACCATGTGGACGAGTCCGTGGGGAGCAAGACGAGAAGGGCCTTCCTGTACCTGGCTGCCTTCCCCTTCATGGACGCCATGGTGAGTGGGCGCACGGCTTGCCTCTCCCCCCTCAGCCCTGCAGGCCAGGCCCGGGAACGTGTGCATATTGTCGCGAGATTGGGGCCCATCTCATGAACGTGCCACCGTCCTCTGCCTGGCCCTTCCCTCAGGCTGGCTCTGGTCCAGGGTCTCAGATGGTTGGGATTCGGGCTGGGTTTGTTTCACCGGGGCCGATTTCAGGCTGTTTAATGTCCAGCCTGTCTACCTGGAGGCCTGGTTCAGAATGGCCCTTTGTAGCTGATGAAGAATAGCCTTTTGGCTGGCAGCCCACACCACGCGTTGTTCATTCGTTCAGCCCTCAGCAGATGCTTGGACGTGCCCATGTGTCTGAGTTCCTGTGTCCAGTATGTTTGAGCGCTGACCCAAGCACCTGCGGAAGCGCTGGGCTGTTGTGGGATTCCACAGCCTTCCTGCGAGGAGAGAGAGTGTGTGTGTGTGTGTGTGTGTGTGTGTGTGTGTGTGTAGATAGATATAGATACAGTTGTTGGTTTACCCATCCAGCTGATGTCAGGTCAGCACCACGAGCCCAGGGCGGCAGAGGAGCCACCCCGGGTAGTCTTGATGCAGCCCGTGAAATGGGCATCCAGGCTGCTGGGGAGACAGACTGTCTCTCAGGTGCTGTTGGGACCCTCGCGTGGCTCCAGCCTCACACCACCCAGGCTCCGCAGTTCTGCTGCCCTGGAGGGTTCGAGCCACAGTGCAGAGGGTTGCGCATTTGTCTTGCAAGCAGCTGACCGGAGTTTGATCCCCAGCACTCCTCAGGGTCCCCCAAGCACCCGCAGGAGTGAACCCTGAGTGCTGAGCATCGCTGGGTGTGGCCCAAGAACAGGAAGGAAGGAAGGAAGGAAGGGAGGGAGGGAGGGAGGGAGGAAGGAAGGAAGGAAGGAAGGAAGGAAGGAAGGAAGGAAGGAAGGAAGGGTGTCTGATCAGATCTGAGTGTGAGTGGGGGGCCCTGCCCCTCACTGGGCGGGCTCTCCCCAGCCCCACACAGAGCCCCGTGCGCCCAGCACCCTGCAGGGCACTGTGCCCAGATGCCCCCCCTGCCCTCTGGGTCCTCCCCTACTCTGGTCGAGCACACGGCCTGCACGTCCCAGTTGCCCCAGAGTAATGAATGTCCCTGACTGCACACAAAACTGTGCCATGTCTGAGTCCCCGGGTTCCATGCCCAGCACCTCAGAATGCATAGAATGTAGAAAATGGGTTGAAGAAAAGAAACCCGCATCCCAAGGCTGCCACCCAGTTTGAAAAGCCCCTCCAGTCTCCTGATAAAATACTCAACGTTCCAAACAGACACAGTGGCCTCTCAGGAACCACGTTGCAAACCATGATGCACTGAAGGAGAAAGAGAAAGAAGAGGCAGGAGGGGTGGGGTTGGGGGTTGGGGGATGGTGGAAGGGAAACGGGAGGCATTGGTGGTGGGAAATGCGCCCAGGTGGAGGGACGGTGTTGGACCCTTGTATGACTGAACCCTGAGCATGATCCGCTTTGTAACGGCTATCACGGTGGTTCAATACAAAAATTTTTTTAAACAGAGAGAAAGGACATCTTGGGCCAAGAGAGATTAAGGCACTTACTCTGCACGCAGTGACCTGAGTCTCATTCCTGGAATTGCATATGTCCCCAAGCACTCCCAGGATTAGATCTAGACCAAAGCCAGTATAGCCCAAACCCACGCCTCCCAAAAAGACCTTGTGTGGATCTACCCTAGAATGGTATCATCAGAGTTGTTAACTTCTTGGTGTCTTTATTCCAGAGGGCTGCCTGTACTAACCCCCCAGACTCAGTGCTTGGGGGTTACTCCTGGCAATGCTCAGGAGAACAGTGCTCGGGAGTGAACCCAGGGCCTTTGCATATGCTCCAGCCCTTTGGACCATATTCCCCTTGGTTTTGCTTGTTCACTTCTCCCCCCCCCCCCCCCCGGGAGGTGCTTGTGGATTCCCCACCGCCCCCTGCAGTGCTTGGGAAGGTCATACGGTGATGGAGCTTGGACCTGGGATTCCTGCCCTTTGACCTGCAGACTCCTGCTCGCCAGCCTCGCCGCGACGCGCCCGCAGGTAAACGGTGAGTCGTCAAGGCACCTCACTCCTCTCTCTCCCGCCAGGCCTGGACCCACGCGGGCATCCTCCTGAAGCACAAGTACAGCTTCCTGGTGGGCTGCGCCTCCATCTCTGACGTCATAGCGCAGGTGAGCCACTGGCGGCCCCATTTCTACCCGGTCCTGCTGATGGACGCCCGCCACTCCTGTGTCTGTACGAAAAGGACCGTGCAAATGACACAAATGGCAAGAGGAAAGCAGTCTAGGGTTCTTAGTGCCTGGTGGAATCGGGTGTGCCTTGGTCACACTGGGATGGGAGCAGCTCACGAAACCTTAAGCTCCCTGCGGGAGGAGCAAAGACAACCCAGTGTCATCCGACGTCTGCTGTCGGCCCCTTTGACAAACAACCCACCGGCCAGCCTCACAGCCCAGGTGTTACGTGTTTGTCGTTTAAAGCGCAGCTCTGGGTTGGGGCCATGGCACAGCGGGGAGGGCGTTTGCCTTGCACACGGCCGGCCGGGTGCTCTCCCTGGCATCCCATACGGCCCCCTGAGCACCGCCAGGAACAATTCCTGAGTGCAGAGCCAGGAGTAACCCCTGTGCATCACTGCGTGTGGCCCAAAAAGCAAAAAAAAAAAAGTGCAGTTCCCCCAAGATCCATGCGCTCTCCACTGCATCCCTGGGAGTCCCACCTCAGGGTGCCCACGTCCACTCCAGCTCAGGGCCCCCCGAGGCTCGCTGCTGCCCGTACCCCTGACGCCCGGGCCGAAAGCATCCCACCACAACCACCAGCCAGTGCTTGGCGTTCCAGGCCAGCCGTGCAGAGCCCCGCCCCCAGGGGCGCTCCTGAGCCCCCCCGCCCGTCTGTCCCAGGTGGTCTTCGTCGCCATTCTGCTGCACAGCCACCTGGAGTGCCGCGAGCCGCTGCTCATCCCCATCCTGTCGCTGTACATGGGCGCCCTGGTGCGCTGCACCACGCTGTGTCTCGGCTACTACCGCAACATCCACGACGCCATCCCCGACAGGAGCGGCCCCGAGCTGGGGGTAGGTGCCCGGCAGGCGCGCGGGGCGGGGTCCTCTGCTCAGGGTGGGCACCGCTTCCGAGTTCCCCCGAAGGCACCTCCAGTTCATCTCGGTGTCTGTTCCCCCCACCCCCCATGCATGCAACTCCCAGAGCAGGTGGAGGCCAGCGCCAGAGGCTTCGGGGATGAAGCAGCTGGGTACCAGTGCCAGGCGGTGCCCACGCCACCGTGGGAGCAGAGAGGCTGGAACACAAGGCCAGATAGAAACATGGGGCCGGGCGAGAGTGGAGGTCAGCACTCTTGGCTTGTGCTCTGCCGACCTCTGCTCCATCCCTGGCCCCATACAGGGGCCCCTGAGCACCTCTGGGTGAGGGAGTGGAGGAGGAAGGGGAGAAGAGGGAGGGAGGGAGGAAGGGAGGGAGGGAGGGAGGGAGGGAGGAAGGAAGGAAGGAAGGAAGGAAGGAAGGAGAGAGGGAGGGAGGGAGAGAAGGGGGAAGGAGGGAGAGGGAGAGAGGGAGGGAGGGAAGGAAGGAGAGGGGGGAAGGAGGGAGAGAGGGAGAGTGTGAGGGAGGGAAGGAGGGAGGGAAGGAGAGAAAGAGGGGGAAGGAGAGAGAGAAGGGGAAGGAGGGAGAGGAGGGGAGGGAGGGAGGGAGGGAGGGAGGGAGGGAGGGAAGCTTAGCTCATGCAAAGGAGAAAGACCCCAGGGCCAGACTCTGCCCAGAGGGCACAGACCTCAGAGCTGGGAGCAGCCCCTGACTTTCCCGGATGTGACCCGGAAAAGAAACAAACACACACCAAGACCTAACCCAAGCGAGGGTCCCCTAAGGAAAGCCAGATTCCGGGACACCTTGGCTAGGGGTCTCTCCCTCCCACCGCCCTGGTTTTCAGCCCCTGCACTGCAGCGTGAGAGCTACGGGAAACAGAAACCTCTGATTGGATCCAGATGTAGCTGATGCCCAAATAACCGGGCACGTGTGAGCGGAGAGACTCCAAAATCAACTTTTAAGCTTTTTTTTAAATTTCTAAGAGCTACCTCTTACGGACTTGGCTTCTAGCTAGCCGCTCTGATGGTTTAAACTAAGAAAAGGGTTTCAAGGAGCTGGAGCAAGGGCGTTTGCCTTGCACGCGGCTGACCCGGGTTCGATTCCCAGCATCCCACTTGTTCCCCCGAGCACTGCCAGGAGTAATTCCGAGTGTAGAGCCAGGAGCAACCCCTGTGCATTGCCGGGTGTGACCAAAAGAGCAAAAAAAGCAGGGGCAGGTTTCGAGCCTGTATCTCAAGCCCGGGCGGGGGTCTGCCTTGGGGAGAGTTGGGAAAGGGGCGTCTGGCGCCCCACATCGAACCGGGTGTTTGGACATCGGAGAGCTGCGGGCTGAATGCCCGGCTGGACTGCATGTGTCCTGGTCGCCGTGGCTTATGGACAGAGGGCAGAGGGCATCCCTTGCGCTAAGTTGCTGCTGTTGGCTTGAGTCGCGGTGGACGGAGGAAGGGTTGGACGTCGGCTGGGGGCACTGAGAGGACCCTTCTCGGCTCCCTCCCCAGGGAGACGCGACCATAAGGAAGATGCTGAGCTTCTGGTGGCCACTGGCCCTCATCCTGGCCACGCAGCGGATCAGCAGGCCCATCGTCAACCTCTTTGTCTCCCGGGACCTTGGGGGCAGCTCTGCAGCCACGGAGGTAGGTCGGGTCCCTCCCTGGGACGTGATCCTCGGGGTCACCCAGGCAGACGGTGCGGAGTCAGCAGACCTGGGTCCGGTTCACTCTGGACACACGGTCCCTGCAGCTCCCAGCTAGGAGGGACCCAGCCAGGCCGGGCAGCCATGTAGGCTGGTGGGTGGTTCACGGGCGGCGGGTCCCTGGCCGGGCTCGCTGCCAGCAGGGCTGGGCCCAGCCAGCCTGGCCCTGGGCTCAGGCCGGAAGGTGTGGCGCTGCTCAGGCCCTGCAGTGCTGGGATCTTCCTGAGCTGCGCCCAGGGGTGCTCAGAGGATCCCGTGACGGCAGGGATCAACCTGGGTCCGGTGCACACATGGCAGAGCTGCTCTGCCTCCCCGCCCGGCCTCCTCCAGGGCCCCCATCCGAAGTCTAAACCCGGCAAACGCCAGCCCTGGCAGGAGGGTCCTCTCTGCGGGTCCTGCATACCAGTGTCCAGCGCCCGTGGCTGTGGATTTGGGCTGCTCCCGGGGACTGGATCGGTGCCTTCGGGGGTCTACGAGGGGCAGGAGGAGACGGAGTGGTCCCTAAAGTCAACTTTCTGAGAGTGACGGGCCTACAGCTGGTTAATTTGGGGGAGAGACAGTGCAGGTCTAGGGCCGGCCCTGCACATGGTCTCGGGCCCCTAAGATGGAGGAAGGGCCACGGCCCAGGACAGGGGAGCATGAAAGCCACAGGGGGTGCAGGCCCCCATGAGAACCCCCGGAGGTGCAGTACTGCTGTCCCCCCGCCTCTGCCCTGTTCATCCTGAGGACTGGATCGCTGGACCTGCTACGCAGCCTTGGCCGTGGCTGCCCATCCCGAGGACCCCTGCTTTTTCCTGCCCCCCATACGGGGTGTCCGGAAAGCAACAGTGCGTTCACGGGGCTCAGACGCCGCCGTCCCCTTCCCGGGACAGCGCCGAGCCAGCAGGACCCTCGCTGCCCGCTGCCCTCTTGGGGGCTCATCCAGGAAGCTAGGGGCGTCTCCTCGGGACCCCTATGGGGCCACACCCCCCACCCCCACCCCACAAGCTGTTGCCAACCCTGCTCCCTGGACAGCCCCTCCCTGCCCGTCTCCACAGCCCGGGAGGCAGCTCCGGTGGGCTTGGAAAGAGGAGCCGAGAATCAGCGGCAGGCACAGCCCCCTGGGGGCCCAGCGGGGTGGGGTGTGGAGGGGACCCTCGAGGTCGTCTCGGGCCGCGTTGAACACAGCGGCTTTGTCAGTTTCGCAGGTCCAGCTGCCTAGTGCACATGCAGGCTACGCCCCACCCAGCCAGCCCGGAACCCCCACACTCACCCCACACTCAACCCTACACTAACCCCCCACACTCACCCCACACTCACCCCACACTCACCCCACACTCACCCCCACACTCACCCCCACACTCACCCCTACACTAACCCCCCACACTCACCCCTACACTAACCCCCCACACTCACCCCTACACTCACCCCCCACACTCACCCCCACAGTCACCCCCACACTCACCCCCACACTCACCCCTACACTCACCCCACACTCACCCCTACACTCACCCCCACCTTCACCCCCACACTCACCCCTACACTCACCCCTACACTCACCCCCACACTCACCCCTACACTCACACCCACCTTCATCCCTACACTCACCCCCACACTCCCCCCACCTTCACCCCTACACTCACCACCACTTCACCCCTACACTCACCACCACTTCACCCCCACACTCCCCCCACCTTCACCCCCACACTCCCCCCACCTTCACCCCTACACTCACCCACACACTCACCCCCACCTTCACCCCTACACTCACCCCCACATTCACCCCTACACTCACCCCCACCTTCACCCCTACACTCACCCCCACATTCACCCCCACACTAACCCCCCACACTCACCCCTACACTCACCCCGTACTCACCCCTACACTAACCCCCCACACTCACCCCACACTCACCCCTACACTCACCCCACACTCACCCCCACACTAACCCCCCACACTCACCCCCACACTAACCCCCCACACTCACCCCTACACTCACCCCGCACTCACCCCTACACTAACCCCCCCCACTCAACCCCACACTCACACCTACACTCACCCCACACTCACCCCACACTCACCCCCACACTAACCCCCCACACTCACCCCTACACTCACCCCTACACTCACCCCACACTCACCCCTACACTCACCCCCACCTTCACCCCTACACTCAACCCCACACTCACACCTACACTCACCCCCACACTCACCCCCACACTAACCCCCCCACACTCACCCCTACACTCACCCCTACACTCACCCCACACTCACCCCTACACTAACCCCCCACACTCACCCCTACACTCACTCCCACCTTCACCCCTACACTCAACCCCACACTCACACCTACACTCACCCCACACTCACCCCACACTCACCCCCACACTCACCCCTACACTCACCCCACACTCACCCCTACACTAACCCCCCACACTCACCCCCACACTCACCCCCACACTCACCCCCACGCTCACCCCTACACTCACCCCCACTCTCACCCCTACACTCACCCCCACATTCACCCCTACACTCACTCCCACACTCACCCCCACACTCACCCCTACACTCACCCCCACATTCACCCCTACACTCACCCCCAACTTCACCCCTACACTCACCCCCACACTCACCCCACACTCACCCCCACACTAACCCCCCCACACTCACCCCTACACTCACCCCTACACTCACCCCACACTCACCCCTACACTAACCCCCCACACTCACCCCTACACTCACCCCCACCTTCACCTCTACACAACCCCACACTCACACCTACACTCACCCCACACTCACCCCACACTCACCCCCACACTAACCCCCCACACTCACCCCTACACTCACCCCTACACTCACCCCACACTCACCCCTACACTAACCCCCCACACTCACCCCCACAGTCACCCCCACACTCACCCCCACGCTCACCCCTACACTCACCCCCACACTCACCCCTACACTCACCCCCACATTCACCCCTACACTCACTCCCACACTCACCCCTACACTCACCCCCACATTCACCCCTACACTCACCCCCAACTTCACCCCTACACTCACCCCCACACTCACCCCACACCCCCACACTCACCCTACACATCCCCACACTCACCCTACACTCACCCCCACACTCACCCCCACACTCACCCCCAACTTCACCCCTACACTCACCCCCACACTCACCCCACACCCCCACACTCACCCTACACATCCCCACACTCACCCTACACTCACCCCCACACTCACCCCCACACTCACCCCTACACTCACCCCCAACTTCACCCCTACACTCACCCCCACACTCACCCCACACCCCCACACTCACCCTACACATCCCCACACTCACCCTACACTCACCCCCACACTCACCCCCACACTCACCCCTATACTCACCCCACGCTCACCCACTCACCCCCCCCCCCGCCCAGGGAGGGGCCACTGGGCTCTGCTCACGTCTCCTCTCCCCACACACAGCCCTCACAGAACTGCTGCAGGGATGAGGCCTGGGGGTCAGGCCCCTTAATTCCTGCTTCCTTGAGTCCCGCGGCTGGACGTCATTCCAGTGAGAGGGCCCCAATCTCTGCTCACTGTTGGTTCTGGTTGGGGGGGCGGGGGGCTGCTTTCCTCCCCCTGCTGCTCTTCCCCGTCGGAAAGGCCCCTCCTGCCTCCCTTCCATGCCCAGCAATATTGGCAAGCTGTGATTTTAGTTTTTTTTTAATGTCCCCTGTGGGAGCCGGAGAGAAAATGCAGCAGGTCAGGCACTTGCCACGCACACGGCCAACCCCGGTTCAGTCCCCAGACCTCCGTGTCGTCCCTGAGCCCGCAGGAGTGATCTGAACACCAATTCAGGAGTCCGCCCTGAGCACCGCCAGTGTGACCAAAAAAAATAGGACCTGTGGATTTCATAGGAGTCCGCCTGGCCAGGCCGCTGGGGAGCTGAGCTGGCAGGGGAGGGCCAGGCAGCGTGGCCCTGCCCCCTGAAGGCTGTTGGGACCCCCTGGGGGTGACCCAGCGTTGGCAGGGCACATGGGGAGACTCGGGTGGAGGAGTGCTGGCCTGTTGGGTCACCCCGGGCCCCTCTCCCTGTGAGCAAGGACCTAGGGGTGTCCTCCACGCCGCACCCCCAGCCGTACCCCCAGCCTCGCCCTCCCGGCAGACCCTTCCTGCACCGGCCCAGCCTGTGGGCTGTCGGGGAGCTGGGCAGGGGACAGACCCGCCAGCAGCCGCCCTCAGGGGTGAGGACCCCAGAGCCCGGAGACGCGCCTCCAGCAGCACACTCACCCGCTGTGACCTCCCCCTGCAGGCAGTGGCGATTCTGACGGCCACGTACCCTGTGGGCCACATGCCGTACGGATGGCTGACGGAGATCCGCGCCGTCTACCCTGCCTTCGACAAGGTGAGGCTGTCCAGGTGCCAGCCGGTGGGTCCCTCGTGGGGCAGTGCAGGGCCTGGGCCGGGGGCTGGCAGCTCCTGAGCGAGGTGAAGGGCTGTGCCAGGGCAGAGGGAACCAGGCTGCGGGGAAGCGTCCAGCGTGCACACACGCATGCGCACGCACGTGTACAGTCACAAACACATTCACACGCACACGCACACACATACACACATACAATGCCATGCACATGGTCACATACACACTTACATGCACTCATACACACACGTGCACTCACGTATACATGCATGCACACAATCTCACGTACTGGTACGCACACGCATGCAATCTCATGAACATGCACACAAATACACACTCGTACACGTGCACTAACATACACACACATACATGCACTCTCATGCACACACATGCAGACAGTCTCACAAACATGAACACAGAATCTCACATACATGCACATGCTTTCATGTGCATGCACACATGTAGTCGGTATGCACATGCGCACAATCTCACACACATGCGCACGCATATGCACACTCATACACACACATGCACACATACACACACACGCACTCTGTGCTCACACACCCCTCCTCAGCCTGTCACTCTGCAGCCCACATGTGGGTTTTACTCACTCAGTGTCTGTCATCGCCCTCCTGAACGTGCTGAGGAGGGGTTGAGGCTGGCCTGTCTGTGATGCTTTCCCCTTGGCCCCCCTACACACACACACACGTACAGACACACACAGATACACACATATACATGCATATAAACACACGCACAGACAGACATGCACACATACACACACATGTATAGACACACAGCATCCACACACCCCAGGAGCAGTGACCCGTTGCTGTCCCCAGGGCACTGTGAGCTGTGAGCTGTCTCACTCCTTCCACAGTACCCACCAAGCACCCAGTTTACCCCACACGGGGCTCTGACAGCAGCTGAGGACCCAGCCCTCAGCTGTCCCTGAGAGAAAGGGCCAGAGGCCACAGTCGCCCCCAGAGCTCCTCAGAGAAGCCTTCCTGACTGTGCGTCCATCCTGGGCGAGTCAGGGCCACGGGACCAGGCCCGGGGCCCCCACCTGCCTCCTTGGTCCTGGTGCAGCCGAGCAAGGGTTTCCAGCCCCGGAAGGGTTGTGCAAGCAGCCACGGGGGCACTGCCCTCCCTGATCTCAGGCACCGTGCCCCAAACTCCAACCCCCAACCCTGCCACACGCGGCCCCGCAGTGTGTGTGGGCATCAAAGGCGAACGGCTCTAGAAGCAGGTGGCTGTGCGGCGTGGGTGGGCTGGGTTGCGACACTCAGCGGGAGCCGGGGCAGGAAGGACGAGGCCGGGTGGGAGGCGGGCGGGCCCCGGGCCAGGCACCACACACCACGCCGTCACCCACAAGCCGCGGCCGGGCCTTAGGGAGATGCCAGGCAGGTGGGCAGCGGGGACTGAGCCCAGGTCCTCGTGCTGTGTGCAGGGGCCGGTCTGTGCGGGGGTCTCGGACCTCCTGAGCCAACAGGCCGAGCTGCCCAGGCAGCAGGAGAGTCGGGCCGCCGGGGCCCTCACCCTTGTCCTTCTCTCCCCAGAACAACCCCAGCAATAAACTGGTGAGCACCAGCAACACGGTGACGGCCGCCCACATCAAGAAGTTCACGTTCGTCTGCATGGCCTTGTCTCTGACGGTGAGGAGGAGCTGGGGGGTGGCATGCTCGGCGGGGAGGTGTCTTCCCTCCCCGCGGGATCAGGGGCCATGGCACAGCGGGGCGGGCACTTGCCGTGACACGCGGCCAGCCCAGGTTGATCCCCGCCATCCCACGTGGCCCGCCGAGCACCACCAGGAGAGACTCCAGAGCACAGAGCAGGAGTGACCCCTGAGCATCGCTGGGTATGGCCCAGAAACCAAAAAAACAAGAAAATGCGTCTTTTGGAGCAAGAGTGCAGTGGCGGGGGGCGTGTGCCTTGCATGGGGTCAAGCCGGATTTGATCCCTGATCCCACAGAGGGTTCTGCCCCACACCCCTCCCAGCCCTGCCAGGAGTGTTCCCTGAGCACTGCCAGGCGGGGCCCAAAATTAGAAACAAGGCCAAGGGCCTCTTCCTGGGGTGAGGACAGGGCTGGCCGTGGGTGTCGTCCGGCTCCCCGCCCACACCCCCTCTGGGTGACCTTCTGCTCGCTGCTGCCTCCTTGAGTGCCCCTGAGTCCTGTGCTCCTTCCCCCGCCCCAGCTGCCCCCCCTCCAAGATCTGCGGGTGGCCCACGGGTCACGTTCTGTGAGGGCAGAGGGACCAGAGACTCTGCTCCCCACGGGACAGGGTCGCTCAGCTCAGACCTGAGCTCAGGGCCCAGTGCTCACAGGGCAAGGGCCATGAGCCTGTGTGATGGGGTTGGGCTGGGTTTCTGGGAGAGGCCGGTGGGCAGTGGGACTCGGGGGTCGGTTTCTGTTTGGAGGGTTAGTGGTCTTCCCAAGCCGGCGGATAGGGTGGGCTGTGGACACCGGCCTGGAAGGGCGACACAGCCCGAGGCCTGCAAACCAGGGAGAGTCCAGCCCTCCGGGGCAGAGCCGGAGCTGCAGAAGTTCCGAGGGAGCCCCAGGAGGCAGGTTGGACCCTGGGCGCCTCGCACCCCAGAGGGCATTTGTCTGCTCTACACCCAGGGACCAGAGACGGACACTCGCCCCCCACCCCCAGCCCGCCCGGCCTTCCCCTCAGAAGGGCAGCCCGTGGGGACTGGCCACGGGGCTATTTATAGTCCTTAATCCCTGCCACCTGCTCTTGGTTCTGCTGGCCAGGAGGAAGGAGGTGACCGTGCGGGGGAGGTGACCACCGCCATCCCACCTGGCCCCCAGGAGACTGTGGGTGTCTGCCGGTCAGCCCTGCCCCCTGCAGCTCAGCCCAGCACCCCACCCCACCCCCGAAGGCCAGAGTAGAGGTTCTCAGGGGAACCCTGAACCCAAACCCCCAACATTCCAAGGGACACCCAGGTGAAAGATCACACGAAGGAGGGGGAATAAGGGACCCCATGGCCCAGGGCTGGGTGGGGGCACCCCGGGAAGGAAACGAGGAAGGCAGGGCGCGTGGTGCAGAAGGTCGGGACCCTGATCTGAAGGAGGCTCCCTTGTAGGGTCCCCTTCTCGGGGAGTGGCCAGTCCCCACCCCCAGCTCGGAAATCTTCCTTCCTTGAGGAGACAGAGCGACCCCCATCCCCTACCTCCCCCGAGGTCACTCTCACCCCCCCAGAGAGAGCGGCACCCCCAGCAGAGGGACCCACTGTGCCTGCCCAACCCCCAGGCCGGGGTCCCGCCCACCCCTTTCGGCACCCCTTCCTGCCTGCACGCTGCTGGGGGCTGATCCCCAGTGCCTGGCAGACCCTGTGTCCCACAAGGATGGCTGTTCCCCACCTCCCACCCCAGCGAGGAGACTGACCCTCCTTGTTCTGGCCGCAGGGTGGGGTGAGGGGTGCAGCGCATACTGAGGGGCTCGCCCCCTCCCCTGGCTCCCGAAACTCCCCATCCTCTGCCACATGGAGCTGGGAGGAGCGTGCCCACCCCCAAGCCCCAGCCCCCCGCCACACACACACACACACACACACACACACACACACACACACACACACACACGGGCCGGAAGGAAGCTGCAGGAGCCCAGACCGCCCTCCCCACCTTCCACCCCCGTGACGGTGGGTGCCGAGTCCACAGTGCCACAGCACCCTGGCTTGGTGCCCGGTGCATGTAGCGGGCACAGGGGGCTCGAGCTCGTGACCTTAGGTTCCCGGCAGCCTCCCCAGAGCCCCGCGCCTGCTGCTGTTTGCTTTTATCTTCCAAGCTGTCAGCCACTAAAATGCGCCTCTCCAGCCGCTGTGAGACCGATGATCTCCACCCGGAGACCCTAGCCCCGTTGAACTGTGACTGCCCAGACCCACCTTCATAGGGACCCGTGCAGAGAAGCCGCTGAGGGCCCCAGCAATAGACTCAGCCGCGGGGGAGCAGGGCGAGGCCCATAGAGGCCCCAGCGGTGCTGGGTGTTTGGCGCCCCCTGCTGTTGGGCGCGTGTGTTACATGCCCCCTCTGCCCCCCTCCCCCCTACACACACCCTCCGGAGTGTATTTGGCAGCTTTGGCTGATGCCAAAGGAGAAACAGGCCATTGTTTTTATTTTTATTATTATTATTATTATTTTGCCTTTTGGGTCACACCCGGCGATGCTCAGGGGTTACTCCTGGCTCTGCACTCAGGAATTACCCCTGGCGGTGCTCAGGGGACCATATTGGATGCTGGGAATCGAACCCGGGTCTGCCGCGTGCAAAGCAAATGCCCTACCCGCTGTGCTATTGCTCTAGCCCCCAACATTCTTACATTTTTAAATTCCAACCAAACATCAGTCTGGGGGAGGGAGGAGGTCCGGGGTGGCGCTTCCCAGCTGAATGTTTTTGACTTGCTCCTGGTGATGCTTTGGGGGACCCCATTTGTCCAGCCTGTGGTTCATCACCAGGGGCTGTGCGGGAGGCATCAGTGCAGCTGGGATGGAGCCAGAGTCTGCGCGTGCACGGCCAGTGGCCCCAGCTTCCATTTTTAAAGTCCTTCTCCAGGTGTTTCCCCAGGACACACACAGACACACCCTCCCCCACACACACACACACATACCACACACGGTGCCTGTTCTCTCCACTTGTCCAGGTGCTTCCCCAGGACACACACACACACACACACACACACACGGTGCCTGTTGCCTCCCTCATCCTGACCAGACCCTGGAAGTTTCCTGGGTCCCCGCCCAGCACTCACAGCCGCCTCTGCCCCTCAGCTTTGCTTCGTGATGTTCTGGACCCCGAATGTCTCCGAGAAGATCCTCATCGACATCATCGGGGTGGACTTCGCCTTCGCCGAGCTGTGTGTCGTGCCCCTGCGCATCTTCTCCTTCTTCCCTGTGCCAGGTGAGCGCCCACCCTGCCGTGGGAGGGAGACGGCGGGAGCGCAGGGGCCGGGCATACGGCCCACCCGTGCCCCGCCAGGAGTGACCCCTGAGCGCAGTCAGGACTAAGCCCTGAGCACCATCAGGGTAAGGCCCAGGAACCTAGAGAAGAAAAAGGTGTTGGGGGGAACTCCTTGCCCCCCTGAGGATGCCTCTTTCTGGGGAAATGTTTGCTGTGGTCCTGGCCCAAACCAGAAGAGAAAAGGCAAATTCCGCCTTCCGGGACGGGGAAGATGCTGGAGAAGGATTCGACTTCCGGGTCATCCTGGGAGATGGTTTGCTTGGGGGCCACTCCAGGCCCCGTTCAGGGCCGACTCCTGGCTCTGCACCCGGGGCTCCCTCTGGGCAAGGCTCTGGGGTGGGGACCAAATGGAGACCAGACTCTCCCTCCCGCCCTTCTGCATCAGCCCTGGCGTCTAATAAACGGCCCTCACAGAGAGTCCCGAGGACTCCGGTGAGCAGATGTTTTCATCAGGGAGAGGAGACGGGCTTTGCCTCCTGAGTGTGGCTGAAGTGACAGAGACTTAAGCCTGTAGGAAAATTCTTAGCACTGACTAATAGAACATTCAAAAAAATTTTTAAATAAGAAATCAGGGCCAAAGTGATAGTACAGTGTAAGTAAGTAAGGAGACTTGCCATACTCACTTCCAACCTGGGTTTGGTCCCTGGCATCCCATAGGGTCCCCCGAGCCCCGCCAAGGAGTGAGCCCTGAGTGCAGAGCCAGGAGTAACCCCTGAGCATCACCGGGGGGGGGAAAGGAATAAAAAAGACCTACAAAAAAGAGAAATTGAACAATCTGAAGGTGTGCAGGGAGCATGGCCAGTGAGGAGAGGATGCCGGAGCACGGGAGACTGCCCAGGGCCAGTCAGATGGGGCAGCGTTTGGGGATGGGGTCGGGACTAGTCCTCTGTTTGCCAGTGGGCCCACACCCGTGGCTAGTGCTTGTGGCTACAATGTTTCTAGAGGGAGCAATAAACTGGGTCTTGCTGCTCTGGGAAGCGGGATTGGAAGGCAGGAAGTTGTGTACCTGGGCCGTGGCATTACTGGTCCTCCGTGATCTGCCCAAACACTTGGTCCAAGATGCCCGAATCTGTAACATCCACAGTTAGGTAAGAAACCAGCCTGGGTTAGAAAAGATGAAATTGTGAAATTTACATACAAGTGGTACTACATGGAAAGTATCATGCTAAGCGAAATAAGTCAGAAAGAGAAGGACAGACATGGAAAGATTGCATTCATCTGGGGAACATAAAGTAACAAAATAGGAGACTAACACCCAAGAATAGTCGAGATAAGTACCAGGAAGTTCACTCCATGGCTTGGAGGCCAGCCGCACACGCTAGGGAGCTCAGATGGAGAAGGGAGCACCAAGTAAATGGTGTTGGGAGGATCCGCCCAGGATGGGAGATGTGTGCTGAGAGTGGACTGTAGACCGAACATGATTGCCACTCAATGCCTCTTTTGCAAACCAGAGCACCCAAAAGGAGAGAGAGAACAAAAGGGAATGCCCTTCCGCAGAGGCAGGGTGGGATGGGGGGTGGGAGGGATACTGGGATCAGTGGTGGTGGGGAATGGGCACCGGTGGAGGGATGGGTATTCAATAATTGTATAACTGAACCCCAAGCAAAAAATTTGTAAGTCTACAACTGTACCTCATGGTGTTTCACTAATAAAAATGTTTAAGAAAGAAAGAAACAAACAAACCAGCCTGGCCGGAGCGATATAGCACAGCAGGTAGGGTGTTTGCCTTGCTGCGCGGCCAACCCACGTTCGATTCCCAGCATCCCATGGGGTCCCCTGAGCACCATCAGGGGTAATTCCTGAGTGCAGAGCCAGGAGTAACCCCTGAGCATTGCCAGGTGTGACCCAAAAAGAAAAAAAAAGAGAAAAGAAAGGAAAGGAAAGGAAAGAAACCAACCTACGTAGGGCTGCAGAGATAGGACCGGGGGCACCCAGCCCAGGTTCCATCCCCGGTCATGTAAATTCCCCCACACACCACCAGGATGAAACCCTGAGCACTGCAGGATGTGGCCCCAAAACAGCCAAAAAGAGCGTAGAGACGGTGGCGGCCAGGGCAGGTGGCGTGTTCCCGAGTTGGGCCACTGGCCGCCCCTGCGGTTCAGATGACCGGCGGGGAAGGAGCCAGGTGTTGCGGTGCTGCCACCCAGTGGCCACACAGGCATGCACAGGCCGGAGAGGGCGGGCGCGTCCAGACAGCAGAGCCCGCGTCACCTGCCCAGTGCCCCTGGGCCAGTGCTCCTGTGGTCTGCGCCCCACACAGACCACCCCATCCCGGGACCCTGAGCGTCCTCCCAACCAGCCCCGAGTGAACCCCAGCACCTGGCACACCTTCCTGGGGGGGGGGGCCTGTGTGACCGCCTCACCTGGGGAGGTGGGTGAGGGGCTCCGGCATGTAACCCCCCTTTCAGCCACTTGCTCAGAAGCAAACTGGACCGACCTCCGCCGCGGCTGGCCCTACGTGGTCAGCCAGATGCACGGTCTTAGCCTGCCGCCTGGGCAGCAATGGGGGGGGGGCGTGGACAGTGGGTTCCAGGAGGGGCTGGGGGCGCTGAGGGGCTATTGCCCACTCACTGTCTGTGATGGTGTCAGGGCCAGGTGGGGAGGGGTGAAGCCCCCCCGGGCGGGCCAGAGGGGCCGTGGCTGGTGGGGTGCCTCAGCAGGGGGACGTGGGTGGCACAGAGTCTGGCTGGTGGGGTTCGTGGCCTGCAGGGCGCGTGGCCCCCCAGGTCGCCAGGCCTCGCACATGGGAAGCCAGCGGGATGTGTGGGCGGCACGGCCGTGGGCGGGCACTGACCACCCCGCTGTCCCCCGCAGTGACCGTGCGCGCGCACCTCACCGGCTGGCTCATGACGCTCAAGAAGACCTTCGTGCTGGCGCCCAGCTCAGTGCTCCGCATCATCGTGCTCATCGCCAGCCTGGTGGTCCTGCCCTACCTGGGGTGCGTGGCAGGGCCGGGGCGGAGGGGCTCCGGGGGCGGGGGGCGGGGGAGCGGCCCCCCTGACCCCGCCTGATGCTCCCTCGCAGGGTCCATGGCGCCACCCTGGGCGTGGGCTCCCTCCTGGCCGGCTTCGTGGGCGAGTCTGCCATGGTGGCCATCGCCGCCTGCTACGTCTACAGGAAGCAGGTGAGACCGAGACAAGCGAGGGGATGCAGGGGCGGGGGGGGGGGGGGGGGCGGAGGGCACAGCCCACCCACACACCCACACCAGTGGCTTCCGGGGCCTCAGGTGCCCCCTCCTCACCTCCACCCTGCGCTTCCTTCCCTCTTCAACCTGGCCCCAGCCCAGCACATACACACAGCACACACAGCACACACATAGCACACACACAGCATACACAGTGCACACACACCACACAGCTCACACACACCACATACACAGTGCACACAAAGAACACATGGCACACACATAGCACACAGACAGCACTCACAGTACATAGACAGCACACACACACACACACCACGGCGTACACACAGCAAACGCAGAGCACATATGCACAGCACACACACAGCATACACCATACACACACAGTACATACAGCACACACCATCCACACCATCATGCACACAGCATACACAGTACACAACACACACACACACGCAGCACACACAGAACACATTTCCTTTCAGAGAGCCAGGACCAGCTCCTAGGCTGTGAGTGCTTGATTGTCCACACGACACACCAGCACACACACAGCGTGCATGGCCCCAGTGTACACCATTCCTGCCTACATAAACACCCACGTGCAACACAGTCACGCAGCATGTGCACAGGACAGACGTACCATACAGTACACATGATTCTACCGGACAGTATACACAATCCTACAGGACAGATCTGCCGTACAGTACACACATGGTCCTACTGTACAGATCTACCACACAGTACCCACAATCCTGCAATACAGATGTACCGTGCACACTGAGACAGCCCACAGAGCACGCTTGCACACGTGTCCGACACAGCACACGGCATGCAGCCCCACGCCGTGCACACAAACACTGGGTGTGACACGCTAATATGGACAGTGTGCCACAGAGGTAGAGAGTGTGTGGAGACACTCCTGCTGTAGACCCCACCCGCAGCGTCACTATGGAAACACACGTGTGTGTGGAGAGCCTGTACATCGCCGTCTCACAGCAGACCCTCAGTGTGCCCTCCCCCAGACCACACATGCCTGCACCTGCCAGCTCCAAGCAGCCCTGTCTCATCGTGTCCATGCAGGGCACCCAGGGCTGGACTCAGGAGCTGGTAGCTGCCCGGGCTCTGCTGCATGGCCACCAGCGGGCAGAGGCCCGGGAGGGGGGCACCAGGCAGGGTCCAAAGGAAGCAAGAATCTTTGAACTTGGGTCCCATGGGTGGTTGTGGTGGTGGTGTCGATGGTGTCTGTGCCGGCTGGGCCCGAGAGGTGATGCCCTGAGAGGGGCCCAGAGGGGCTGGGCAGCAGGACGAGGTGCACGCAGGGTGGAGGGGCAAAGGGGGGCACAAGGTTGTCACATGGGAGGATTTGGGTGCTTGGCGTCGCCCCAGAGAGGTCGCCTCCTGCTGGGAATGAGATTTACGGGGACAGAGAGGGGACGGTCCATTGGGGCAAGGAAGGGACAGTCCAAGGGGGCAGGGGGAACCATCCATGGGGATGGGGAGTGGACGGTTCATGGAGGCAGAGGGACAATGCACATGGACAGTGGGGACGTTCCCACCCCTAACCTGCTCTTGGCATAATGACCGCGAACCCCGCCATGTCCAGCCCTCACTGACCCCACCGTCCTCTCGACCCTAGAAGAAGAAGGCGGAGAACGGCACGGGCACCGAGGGCGAGGACTCGGCCATGACGGACATCCCCGCAGCCGAGGAGGGCGCCGACGTGGTAGAGATGCGGGAGGAGACCGAGTAAGGCCCGGCCGCCCGCGCCCCCTGGATCCCGCCCTCCGGCCCGTGGGGGGCCTTCCGGGAGGAGAAGAGGCCTTCGTCGTCCGGGTTCCACGCGCCGACGACCAGCAGCCCGGGACTCCGCTCCCACACCCAGTGCAGACGGACACAGGGCCACAGCAGCACACCCCCACCGCTTCCTGACCCCCCACGGCACCAGGGCCTCCCGCCCCTCCCCCGGACAATCGGAACCAAAGGCCACGCCCAGCCCCCCCCCCCCCCGCGTCTCTCCGAGGACTCGCCCACTCACTCCCAGCCACGAGGCCACGCCGGGGGCCACACAGCCCTGAACTGACCAGCACGTGGCCGGAGTCCGTGTCCACGGGGGCTGGTGGTGACCGTACCCTACGGGGGGGGGGAATGGACCCTCGCCTGCACCCCTGGCCTCGGCGTGGCCCCTTAGGGTGTCTGGAGATTGCTGGGGGCCCTCTTGCCTCGTGTACCCCCTCACGTGGCCACATCGCTTGGTCTATGCTCCCACGCACTCCCCAGCCAGTGGCTGGCTCTGTTCTCCCTGTGTCGCATGGGCCGGGGACGGAGCAGTTGACCAGGCGCCGCCGTCCTTGGTGGGAACTGAAGCTTTAAGTCACGCGCTAGCGTCCTAACCCATGTGGTGGCCGTGGCCCGGCCACAGCTGGTCCCGCCGCTCTTAGTCGCAAGCAGACCGGAACCCGGAACCCTGCCCTCCCCCCAACACTGTCGCCCCGCCTGCCACCCCCAGAACAGCAGCCTCAAGAGTCACGAGGGGCCAGTCCCCAGAAGGACACGCTGGAAGTCCGCGTCCGGTAGTCTATTTTTCTAAGTTTCGAAAAGCAGGGTTTTGCTTTTTCTTTTCCTCCCCCGCAATCACCACCCCAATTGGGGAGGATTACAAAAAAAAAAGATTATGAACACCGTTTACCAAATTTTTGATTGCATCGAAATTCCTAGACTGACAGAACCTAAGCCACCCCCACCAGATATTTTAAAAAGATAAAGATTATACTGTATATGTTATATAATTTATTTTAAGCTATACTACATTTCCTATTTTCGCATTTTCAATAAAATGTCTCTAATACTAGAAGGACCGGCCGTCGGGAGGTGGCGGATGGACGGGACTGTGTCCTACGCCTGTGCGTCTCCAGGAACGGGAGTGGCCGGGGACGCTTGTTCCTGGGCAGCCGCGCGCCCTGTGCTGCCGTTCTCGGTTCTCTGTGACTTTTCGTTTCTCCTGCAAGGCTGTCAAGCCCCCCCGCCACTCCGCCAGCTCAGGCTGGCATTCATGTGCCCACCCCCGGGGCACCCTCCGAGGCCCCGCCCTAAGGGACAGTCCCCAGGCTGTGACCCCCGCCCTCTCCACCCTCCCTCACAGACTGGGAGCTCTGGGGAAGGAGCGGCCGGGGGGCTTCCAGCAGCGACCCTGAGATGGGCGGGCGGGGGTGGGTGGGGCGGGGATCTAATTGTATCAGCTTTTTTAAAAGTCCATGACCGGAAAATTAAACAGCCGTTATTTTTTATCTCACGTCTTTCATTGCGTGCCTGTGGGTTTGGAGCCAGAGCCTCGTCGCGGTGACACGGTAGATTGCATTCCTTTTCCCCCCGAAGCCAAGGGGAGGTCCGGGAGCCACTTTGGCGCGAGGCATCCTGGGCTGGGAAGGCGCCGTCATCGTCATCGTCTTCGCTGTCGTCGTGGTCACTTCGAGGTTTGGAAGAGACAGACCAACCACACCCAGTCCCAGACTGGGTCGGGCCTTGCGCCTCGGACCTCTGGTTTCTGGAGGCCGCCAGGCTGGCCGACACCCCCTGGACTGATGGGCAGAGACAGGGTAGGGGTGAAGGCCTCGCACGCCACGGTCCTGGGTCCATCCCTGCACCCCGGGGGCTTCTGAGACCAAGAGATGCTTTTGCCTTACAGCACGGGTTCAGGTATGGCGGCCCCGCTATCCCGGACCCCAGGCAGGCCCGCCCGTGGTGCACCCCTGCACGCCGACCCCTGACTGGCCGCTGACCCACGTTCCAGCCCCCCAGCTTCCCCACCCTGTCCACAGCCCTCCCTCCCTCTCCGCCTCTCTCCGTGGTCCAGCTGCTCGGCCCAGGTGCTCTGGGTCACCTCAGGCCAGGGCCAGTGGAGACCTGGAGGCTTCGGGCAGGCAGCTGGTGACTCTAGCACCCAGCCGACCCCGAGCCTGCAGCTGACCCCCTGAACCTCCAGCTGACCCCTCTGAGCCTCCAACTGACCCCCTGAACTTCCAGCTGACCCACGAGCCTGCCGCAACCCCCCTGAGCCTGCAGGTGATACCCCCGAGCCTCCAGCTGACCCCCCCAAGCCTGCAGCTGACCCCCTGAACGTCCAGCTGACCCCACAAGCCTGCAGCTGACTCCCCAAACCTCCAGCTGACTCACAAACCTCTAGTTGACCCCCGAACCTCCAGCTGACCCCCCTGTGTCTGCAGCTGACCCCCTGAGCCTGCAGCTGACACCTCTGAGCCTACAGCTGACCCCCCACCCAAACCTGCAGCTGACCCCCTTAACCTCCAGTCGACCCCTTGAGCCTGCAGCTGACCCCCTGAACCTCCAGCTGACTCCCGAACCTCCAGCTGATTCCCCGAGCCTCCAGCTGGCTCCCCAGCCTGCAGCTGACCCCCCCAGACTGTAGCTGACCCTCTGAGTCTCCAGCTAAGCCCCCTGAGCCTCCAGCTGACCCCCGAGCCTGCAGCTGGCCCCCTGAGCCTCCAGCTGACCCCCAAGCCTGCAGCTGACCCCCTGAGCCTCCAGCTGACCCCCGAGCCTGCAGCTGACCCCCTGAGCTTGCAACTGACGCCCCCAAGCTTCCAGCTAACCCCCCAGGAACCTGCAGGTGACCCCCGAGCCTGCAGCTGACCCCCTGAGCTTGCAACTGACGCCCCCAAGCTTCCAGCTAACCCCCCAGGAACCTGCAGGTGACCCCCCAGTTGATGCCTGAGGCTGCATCTGACTGCCTCCTGCCTCCAGCCGAACCCACAGATCCCCCAGCTGATCCCCTCAAGGCTCCAGCTGACCCCCTGAGCCTGCAGCTGACCCCCACCCAGCTCCTGTGCCCCAGCCTGTGTTGCAGGAGGACCCGGGGTGCAGAGCGTGTGCCCTCCGCACCCCACACGCGGCAGAAGAGGCTCTGAGCGTCTGTTAGGGGTACGCAGGCCACTCAGGGCGTCCAACACCACAAACAAGGACGGTTCCGGTTTCAGAATCCCGACCCCGATTCCTAAACTCCTACACCAGCCGACAATGCGGGGGGGGGGGGGGGGGGGAGGGACCCTCCCAAAGGGTCCCCTGGTGGTAACAAGTCTGGACCCGTTCCGAGATACCATCTAGGGGCTTAGGTTATTAACAGGGAAAAGCTCTGCCTACTCCCAGTGCCACCCGAGCTGACGCCAGGGCGAGGGGAGCGGGCGCGGCTCACTCTGGTCTGGGTGCCAAGGCGCCCCAGAGCCCCTCTCCGGGCAGTCCACACCACAGAGCTTTGTGAAATCGAAACTCCGGGGGGCGGGAACCCTGATTCCATCTCCTGCGCTTCTGCCAGGGCTGCCGCCTCTCCCCTGGATGGTTTCTAGCTGGAATCCCCCGGCCGTGTGCAGGGGTGAAGGAGGGTGGGGCGGGCAGCCAGGGCCATGGCTGAGCCTCTGCGCTGCACCCCAGGGCCCAGTGGGGACCCCAGCACCACTGAGGGGCACTCGCAGCCCTTTCAACACAAAACGAAGGTTAATCTCCACTCGAATGCTCCTGAGTCCAAGGAAAGAACAAGTACTATCATCATAAAACGACTGCATTACTGTCCCCAGGGAGAAACGGTTTGTTGGGTGACACCCAGCGGAGTTCAGGGCTCACCCCTGGCAAGGCTCAGGGCACCCTATATAAGGGGTGCAGGGGGGATCGCACCAGCTGTGTGAAGGAAAGCACCTGAACTCCCATTCTCTCTCTGACTCTGGACATTCTTTCCTTTTGGGGGAGGGTTGTCCGGGGGCCATACCTGGTGGAGCTGGGGGCCAGGCCCAGTTCAGTGCCTGGGGGTCACTCTCGGCAGTGCTCCGAGGACCCAGCGTGGTGGTGGGGACAGAACCCAGGACTCCTGTTTACACACAGGCTCTTGGGGACCGAGTTGTCTCAGACTCACACATTAGAGTTTATCATATTAAAAGAAATGTAAGGGCTGGAGCAATAGTACAACGGGGAGGGCATTTGCCTTGCATGCAGCCAACCCGGGTTCTATCCCTGGTATCCCATATGGTCCCCCGAGCACCGCCAGGAGTAATTTCTGAGTGCAGAGCTAGGAGTAACCCCTGAGCATCGCCGGGTGTGACCAAAAAAAAAAAAAAAAAAGAATAAAAAAAGAAATTTATCCCCTCCCCCCCCCCCCCCCCCCCCGTGCCTTTTTTTATTGCTGACACAGGACCTGGTCTCGGCGCTCACACTCACTCTCTCCTTCCCTCCCGCCCTCCCTCTTTTCTGTCTTTCCCTCCCTCCCTCCCTGTCTGTCTCTCTCCCTCCCTCCCTCTCTCCCTCCTTCCCCCCTTTCTGTTTGTCTCTCTGTGGTGCTGGCTGTGTTTGTGCCTGTTCTGTGGGGCTCCCACATGCCCGGCTGCAGTCGGGCACAAACCCCGAAGGCAGAGAAAGGCCCGCGGGCTCTGCCTGCTGTCTGCCCCCCTTTCAGCAACCTTCCCCCTTCCCCCGACTTCCTCAAGGTTATTCAATTTGGGCTTTTTATTTGTTTGGTTGGTTTGGGTTTGGGGGTCACACCTGGCTGTGCTCAGGGATGTCTTCTGGTGGGACTCGGGGGACCATATAGATGCTGGGGATGGAACCTGCTGGCCCTGTGCAAGGCGGGGCCCGCCCCTCCCCCCCGCCCCCGCTGCTCTCTCTCCAACCCCTCTCCAATTCCATTTTCTTCAGGGAGGCACAGGTGGCCCACAGCCACCCGGCCGGCCGGAGCAGGGAATCCAGTCGCGCGCCTG